CTTTAGTATAACAATTACACTTATACAATAAAGATATAAATACTGTAAATAGTACAACCGTATCGGACATATACTTCAGTATCATATTACAATAATGTTCATATACTTTAGCTATAATAATGGGTTTTAGGTGTACGTTCAGTACATGAACTATAATTAAATAAAATGAAACGTTGTACAGGTATATATATCTGACAACCTTGTATGATGTGTAAACATAATGTTGCTTTATGATGTAAGAGTACAATGCACCTTCACTACAAAAATCCATCTTAGTTTTGTCCTAATCTAAAGAGAAAACTACGAAAAAAACATAAGTCATGATGACAATCAATTTCTTCCCTTTTAATCTGAAGTTTTCACAATGTTCTGCCTGGTACAGCTATTAGAATGGAAAACTACTTGCACATCAATATCAGATGATGGGATAGATAGAACAGATTTCATAGCGATATACATCCAAAGGGAAATATCTTATTCATAGATATTTTTTTTAAATCGTTTACAATCTAAAATTCAAAATCCACATTTTCATGTTTTTTTCTCCTTTTCTTTCCACTAACGTGTAGTTACTTGTATCGAAATTTAAGACGCCGTTACAACGCTGAGTCTATTTGACACATTCAGATACAAAATAGCGGTTATGATTTCAAGGCGTTTAAGATAAGATTGATCCCGAGCTGTAATAGCTCGCCAGGGGCATACAAAGTGTTACCTGGGAACAATGCATGTCTTCATGAGTGTCATTTTGACTGTTTAAGAGGTGAGAAAATGATCATCGTACCAACATTAGCCTTTTCATCATCAGCTTAATCGTGAAAATCGCCAATTACAGTGGCCTCCCCCTGTCCTGTGATTAACATGGCTTGCTGAGATGATTTTCACTTACCCGACGGCTACCACATGAACTATTCAAATAGAAAGTCGTAATAGCCAAGCGTTTAGAATCCTGTTCTTAAAAGATAAATCATATTGAAAAGTTGCTGATTTTAAACCGTCAAAGTGACCAAAAAATCTCCCTACAGAGCAAGTCCTGATTGGGGTAGCCTGACCTTTATGTAGTGTATGTTAAGCTTATTAAGGGCTAGACACAAGCCCTTCCAAATGTTCAGTTTGACCCCAAACATCGAGCATTTTGACCTTAAACCTCCAAAGGATCAAGTTCTTTAAAAAATCATAGTAAGGGTTTACTGAGTTGTAACAACCGAGGTGACAATGATAGCCACCTGTATAGGTATTATAAAGGGCAGGTTCATGTCGTAAAGGATTACACTGTCTACACATAGTGATCGGTAACGGTGCAACATTGGCTTTGTCATTGTTAGTTCGAACCAGCATATGGACCTTTCTTTTAGACTTGAACATAAATTTCTCATACTTTTGATAACGATATTCAATATGTAATTAAGCATTGCCAGTGTTCCATACGTATCCTCATATGTATTGTTCCAATCACAATATAGGGCGGTTGCTATTAAAACAAACGAAAAATCAAACAAATGTAGTTTTAATCCGTTTCTATTTCTTAACATAAAACAGGAAATTTCTATTAAAAGTTATTACTATGGCATAGTTATCCAGAGGTATAAATTACGTATCATGAACATTAAATAAAAAAAAAAAAGAATGAAGGTAAACCATAGCTGGTCCCCAACATACAATAAAATAGTTACGGTTAAAGAATAGTTTCAAAAGAAATAAAAAAATAACTAGAAGTAAAGAGAATGTAGTCCCGAATGCTAAATAAATCAAATGAATGTATAACAATAAAGGATATTCAGTAAAGTAGTTTTTTATGTAGAATAAATAAATGGGCTATTGAATAATTAGAATCGAATATGGAATATCAAGACTGAGGTTAAACTGTTATCTACATTGTGAAATAAAAAAAAATATTGCAAAAGTAGAATGAAAGATGATTGTGTGTTGATTTCATAAAATAGGCTTAAAATAGATGTAAAGCATGAGAATATGGTAAAGATAGTGCAACACACATACAAGTAAATAGACTGTTTTAAGAAAAACATAGAATCAACGTCAAATAACGAATTCAACATCAAGTACATCGAAACATTCTGGTTGATGGATTTGAATGAAATATTGATGTTTACATTTATAAGTTTTCAATTATCAATAGTATCAATATACCTGAACAAATCTCGAATATTTAAGCTATTCTCCCACATCCATTTTCTTGCCATCTAGAAACTTAATTTCCCCTCTTAACGTCCATACATGGTCAATCCATAAATACATTTATTTGTCAACAAAACATTTTGAAAAAGAGAAAGATATTTTCTTAAGTCGTCATTTGGGATTAATTTAGACATTATGAGAATTTATGTTTTTTGAAAATCTTACCTATGTATCAATATCTACTATATATCAAATCAACACATCATAGGTTTAATCATGTCTACGATTATATATTTGACATAAATTACAAACAAATAAGTATCCAAGCTCAATCAACTATGATGTTAACAACACTTATGTCAAATGGAATCTGTCATAACATTGTCTGTACTTTATATGAGTTAACTAATATCATGGTAAAATTAACAAAATAGTCAACTTAGTTAAGATATAAAAAAGCTAACTTTGAGACTGTACAAGAAATATCGGTCATTGGATGCAGAGGTCACACTGTTTCTTACTAGTGTGATATCAGCTCATGACATGGCAGCCGTTATGTAATTTCCAGTCCGAGAGGAATTGGACTTGCAAGTCAATTTAAGACATTTTGATTTTTTTAAACAACGAAATGTAGCTTAAATGTCTCTCCCTAGAAACCCTCTATAAGAGGTGTATTGAGTAACAAGACATTTCAGCAAAGCTATCCTTAAAGGATGTTGAGGATCATGAAGAAGCTAGCCGTAAAACTCTAGTTAATAGCTACACAGTTTTCCAGAAAATACTGATAGTGAGAGCAGTCGTTCGGGTAGCATATCTATCGCATTAACTAATATCATCAGTTAATGAACAAGCGCATTTACTGACTTGATCAATAGTGGTTATATCAACTGTAACGTTGGTCGGCGCGTGTCTAAATTCTGAAAGAATATCGATTTTAATTCACCGATAATGGTTACAGGCCTTTAGGAAAAGTATATTCATATTTCAATGTCGCCATTTCATCAAATACCATTTGGTATTATATATAAATATAGATTTAAATAGTAATATTTACAATTATTTTGTGTATCACATACCAAATATAAAAATGAGTATTTAAAGTTCATAAATGATTATTTGTGTTGTTGATTATTGACCATATGACAAATCATTAAATGATATTGTATATTGCAGTAGATTATTACTGTGCTGGAATAACACTGAACACTTAATTCGTTGGACAGCTTCTCAAATTGTAACAAACAATAAAACATAATGACGCTATTTAGCTCTATATTCAGTAATTACCTATGAAATTATTAAAGCAGATCTTGATTAAAAATTCCCAGACGAGATGGAGGAGAACAACTTATATATCTATAAATATGTGTATACTGATCAGACATTACAATATACTGACACGTAGAAATTGCCCTTTTATAACTAATTAATTTTGGATTAGAACATCCTAATCATAATACCAATACCATTGATAAACAGGATATTTGTTCTGGACTAAACAGTTTCTTAAGTAATAAAGTGTTATGTAGTGAACTACGCGTCAACTACAGAATAAGATATGTACTTCAGAATGAAGCAATATTCAATTTTCAATCGTATATAAGAAAAATTCATATTGTGATACGAATTATATTTTAAGCGATATAATGTTGATAGTAGGTGAATATTTTAGTTAAATATCTTTTTTACAAGGAATAAATAAAACAAGTGATGAATGGATAAAATTGTATTTAGTTACATATCACACGATATTGTATTGATTTAAGTGGAATCGTTTTTTTGTCTAACATTTGAACGCCTGACAAAGACTTATATAATCTAACAATACTGTGGGCACGCTTTGTATCTCTCGAGATTACGGGAGCTAACTTCCTAAATGTGGGAGAGAGGACGGGTTCTGAGCACATATATATTGAGGGTAACGGCGTGGAAGCCCGATATCTCGTGTTACTGTGGACAGGTAAGGGGTGGCTAACATTGACAATACTGGCAACACGATAGGTGTCCATTAGCATACGTATTTGTCATATCCTCACCACAGGTTTAAAGGATATCTTACTTAGATTGACAAATACGGGAATAAGAGAAAATTATAAACTTTAATTCATCCTGTGTCATTTAATCCCGTGCTTCCCAAGATGGCTTGGTCTATAATCCAGCAATCTAGCTCCGCCTTTCCCATTTAATAATCATTGAGCCGAGAGGACGGCAACATAATGTATGCTAAATGGCGACTTGAAAGAGATTTGCGGTTTTCTGATGTGTTGTATGCTAAGCGCTGATTGGCCAATTCTATATAATTATTGATTTTATGACAATTGCATCGTTGACAGACAATTGACCTATCAAAATTGAGGATTCACCCTCACATGGTCATCGCGGGTTGTGAATACTTTTGTAAGGATAGAGCGAAAAGTTACACCGAATCAAAACACATACACCAAAGGACGTATAATGAGGTTTGGTTTGTTTTGCTGCGCAGTTTCATGCTACCAGCAGGTGTGATCACTTGTACACTTAACCAATCTCGTCACATTGATGCTTCGAAAATCATCAGAAGAGATCACCATCATTTGAAACTGACAGTTGCTCACAGCTAAGGTAAATACTGATTTTATTACATTTTATATATTTTCATTTTTATAAATATGCAAGTTTATAATTTGTTTTTTACACAATTTATTTTTCAATACTGGTATAAGATTATGATTCTTCTCTTAATTCAATTTTCTGTTTTTGTTTTCTAAAATTTAATTACAAAACATTTGAAGTAAAGTGCTAACTATAAAGGGAAAATGTATCACATGTATTTATTTTTTCTCTCTCTTTTTTTTTTTGAAAGGTTGGGCAGTTAGCTATTCACTATGTCACTGGCAGAAAATCCCAGCTCTGACCGCCAAACCACTAAACAAGCCTGTTTAGTTTCCGGTAAAGAGAATACTAACACTCGACCAAAACTGGCCTTTTCCATCGAAAACCTCATCGAAACTAATTCAGGAAATGAACATTCAAAGGATGCTGAGATAACTTCTGGTATTACTGATGACAGAGAAACCTCCAGGTCTGATGTTTCCGACACTGAATCTTCAGAGCAGGAAACTTCCATTCCGAGCTTGAAACAATATTCTCCTGTGCATAGTCCACCTCAACAATCTGGAACTTTCACAAACTGGCTAGTAGGGCGGGACGTTTTAAAGAAACAATCTACTCCAAATATGATGCGAGAAAATAGGGATTATCTGATGGCAGGATATCAGTCCTGCCTACATCCAGCGTTTTTCATCGGACGGATGTCTTTGGAAGAATATCAAAATTACTTGTTACGGAATTATTCGATGTTTCAACAACAATTTCCGTCATACTCTTCCAAAGGGAGAGATCCGTCTATTGAATATCTCAAATCATTAAGCATCCAGAAATTTCACGAATCAGGAAAATTCGGAACTCGAGAAAACAACAACGGTTTTGGAAGCAGGAGGGAGGAAAAACTGAATGAAAAGAAGGAACCTAGTCCCGTCAACATAAATACGAAATTCGAGGATGCACCAGTGCAAAATGTCGCTGAAAACAACGGAAAGCCCCTGGGTGAGAAAAGAATACACGAAAACAACAACGAAAGTGACCCAGTCTCATCGAAAATGAAAAAAATAGCGAACAAATCGCAGAAAACTTTTACATGTCAAGAATGTGGTAAGGTTTTCAATGCTCATTACAATCTTACCCGTCACATGCCGGTTCATACAGGAGCTCGCCCTTTTATTTGTAAGATTTGTGGTAAGGGATTCCGCCAAGCGAGCACGTTGTGTAGACACAAAATCATTCACACCTCTGAAAAACCACACAAATGTACCACGTGTGGGAAGGCGTTTAATCGAAGTTCGACTCTCAACACACACATGAGGATACACATGAACTACAAACCTTATATATGTGAGTACTGCGGAAAGGGTTTTCATCAGAAAGGAAACTATAAGAACCATAAACTTACACATAGTGCCGAAAAACAATATAAATGCACAATCTGTAACAAGGCATTCCATCAAATCTACAATCTAACCTTCCATATGCACACGCATAACGAGAAGAAACCTTTCACGTGTCGTATATGTGGAAAAGGCTTTTGTCGAAACTTTGACCTGAAGAAACATACCCGAAAACTGCACGAGGGTAACCCGTTGCCCTCCGCTACGACCCCGCCTTTAGGACAGATGGAGCAGAGTTCCACAGGGATGTGTGGAACGGCTAGTTCCTATGCCCACAATCGGTTAGGATCCACCCAAGGTGCCTTTATCAATGCACGACCCTCTCCGTTTTCTCCCCAGGCCTCTTTGACTTGTCAACGCAATCTTTTGTCTCAGTACATGTTGAGTCCAACATCAGCAAGTTTTCTACATAAATACTCAAACTTCCTATGATTCTTGCAGAAAGGAACTTTCTCATAACCGGAATGACAATGAACTTGATTAAAAGTTTTAATGTTCTTTTTATTTGAATATAATATACTTAAACACTACATTTTTATTAATATGATATGTTATATCTCCAACGTAAAGACTATTTGTTGTTAATCAGACGTATAGAAATAGACTTATCACATTTATATACTAGTAATTTAGTTTATTTGGATATTGACATCACAATATATTAACTTATATACATTTTGTTAATTGATCGTGCAAAGCAATGATTTATACAGTATATATATATTTAAATTATTTAAACAGTACACTTGTATTTATTGGAGGTAAACAGTGCTATGTACGAAGACTCGTGCTAAGTAGAATAATTATTCATCGTAATATGGGTCGGTGAATTTATTTACATGAAGTGCTATATAAGACGATAGAAGTCGTTAACAGAAAATGGCGTTTAAACAAACTGCCCGGATGATAGTGATGACATGCGATGATAGTGAAACTTTGTTACCATATGGTGAAAAACACTTTACATTGTTCATGTTGACCAGCATATGAGATAACGTGTGATGATTTCTCTCAGTAATGTGGCGATGCATTAATTTTATTGGATATTGAAATAACCTTTTCCTGGGAGAGCTGGTTTGGCTTGGTGGTATGACAAGGAGGGTTATACTCCTGCCACCACTGCTACAGTCATGTGTGAAAATCTGGGGGTATCTGATGTATTAGTTCAATTCCATTCTCGAATTATTTTTCATCTGATTGTTATCAACAATAAAGGTTTTTTCCTCGAAATTAAAATATTTTATCTTTCTTTTTGTCTTTTTCCGTTCATCAAAACTTCTGTCTGGAATGTTTTACCGATTAAAATTGCAATTTAGATCAATTTTCAATTTTTCTTTTATTTTGATAATGTGTTTTGTTGAACCAGGCCAACACTATTTAATTTGAGTAAATATTGTATCATAAAAAACGAATTATCTAATGTAGTAGCTATCTCTATCTCAGGAAAAAAACTATTTAAGCTTATCAAATGAATCTACGCAATTATCACTGACGTATTTGCTCAATTCGGTTTTTTTTTCTAGAAATGCCATTTTACTGGATATGTTTTAAATGTGTCTTCTACACAATCAATTAAATGCAACTTCTAATCTGATAGAATATTCCAGTTAAGCACACAAAAATATATTATTATATTTCCAACAAATACACACTGGAGGTTAAGACTGAGAATTAATTTCAACGTTTCTGTTACAGAGGTAAACAATTCTAATCAATTATCGTATTTGATTATGACATCTCGACATAACTCCTGTTATATATGATTTACTGTGACGGGTATATTTATTTCTGTAACAGATGCAATGTTCATCAATCTACTCTAGATAACAGCTGATTACCTTTAATGTAAACTGAACAGATAACGCATCTGACAATGCCTTTTGAAATATTTATTTTTCTATTGCTATAATTATCATATTTAAAAACTCTGTGCTTAATATTTTGTATGTACCGATGATGCGCATCCTTTATTTGAACAGAAAGGTATTTATGGAAAATAATATTAATAAATTAAGTTCTTCTATGTAAACATACAAAATGTTATTTCAAATGATAGTCGATTAAGAAAAATAAGCATAAGTAGGATATAGATTGAATAATACAGCTCACTTTTCCGTAAACATAGGCCGCGTCACGCCTGTTTTCGGTAATATTTGAGTTAACTAATTTAATACGTTTTAATATGTAAATAACAATCTTTTGTCAATCTTGTAAAAAAATCAATAGAATGAAAGTTGATGACTCCGTCAAAATAAAGAATTATATACTGAGATTGTGTCTTTCTAACTGTAGTATCTAAAACGTTATCAGTAAAAGGCGAAACAGACTTACATTTCATCCGGTAAAGCAGAGATATGTCAACTGACATTTATAGATTAAATAGATACCAGGGAACCTGACATACATAGTGAGTAACTACACATGTCGGGTCACTTGTTACAATTGTCAACCTTTTTGGGGGATTTTCAGATTAATAATAGCATCTACTAATTGGAAAGATCGATAAACGCCTCATGATAAATCGAACGTTTTATAGGAATCATCGTCACCCATTTTACCGTCAAGACTATCATCAACTAATGCAATCTTAGAGGCGCACATTCTCTTTTATATGTACTATTAAAGAAACATGGTTGCTATGCAAGCAGACTCTGCCAACAATTACTTAGTTTCACGAAATGGGTTTTCTTTTCTTTCTTTTTTTCTTATCTGATTTTATCTCACTTAAGATTTTTTCAGTGAAATCTCTAGTGTGATCTCGTTAAACACTAAAACTCTTAAATTGAAATATTGACATGATGACGTTTCGTAGAATTAATTATATACCTCTTAAAGACTCCCTTGTATTACATGGACTGCAATCAACAGTAATCATTAATTTGAAATTCATTAATGACACTTTTCTTGCAAAGTATTTCTAAAGGTTACTGCGTAATACGTCAGCGACTTGTATGTGTTGATAAATTGATGAAGAGACCGGCGGAAACCTTGGTGTACGTCCACAGGTATATCAATACAGACACCTGGCACAACACTTAATTACAACAAAATGTCGTCCAAATTTGACACTTATTGAAACAAATTGGATTTCATTCCCAAAAAGTGAAATAAAAACATTTTATAAGTTCAAAAATTATTTCCAGAATTAATTTTTCTAATTGCGTTATATTTGACATAAAAAACAAATGATATTCTCTATATAAAAACTTTAGGTTTTAGGAAAGCACTTCAGAAAAAACATCAATTTATTGAATGAAAAAGAACACAAATAGTTAACACGATTCACTACTTGGATAATTAAATAATTGATCAGTACTGTTAACCATTGTCATATTCAGGACATATAGAAAGCTAATTGGTTTAAATGTTGACTAAAGAAAGCAATATCCAGATCTGGATAACATTATGATCTCATATAAAATTCTGGCAGCCAGTGGTATAGAAATTCCTCGACAAAGCAATACAGTGTCAGCAGACAGTTAATCACAAATGAATGATTTGTAAAATTTGAAAGTAACTGAATTGACAAAGAAAACACCTGTGCTGATATTAGAAGTTCACCACATGTTTATATGACTAATTCAAACATTCACTGTTCCAACGATAACCAAAAATAAACAACCAGCAAAGGAAAATAGATTTGGGGGAATCAATGACTAACAGAAAAGTTAGAAGAGGCGTTACTATCCAGTTGTTTACCAGTCAAATGGAAGCAGCAGCTTTGATACTTTCATTGATATTTGATTTAAAGAATATTTATTACAATTAATGTACACCCATTCTAAAAATGATATAAAAACCACTGGTATATAACTACACGTATTAAGTAACATAAACACAATATAAAGAGGAAAACCAATAATAATATTCAGTCATAAATAGATAAAAATCATGTTATAAAAATCAACTTGAATTTTAAATAAAAAACAAAAAAACAAAAACAAAAAACAAAAAAAAAAAAAAAAAAAACAAAAAAAAATAAAATCGAAAATAATATTATGACAGAGGATATATACATCAGGAGTAAAATAGTCTTTTCTCGAATTTTTAATTTACAAAAGCTTTTTGATATAAGATTCATCAGTGTTTTGTCATTTGGATATCGATTCAAAGAGCAAACTCGTGCAGAATATGTCTGTTGCCGAAATCTTGTGTATCTAAGACAGTGCAAAAATAATCTGAAAATGAAAATCAATATAAAACGAGAAGGAAGTGGGTGTCCGTATTGGTTTGTAAATGATTATAACTGACATTTCGAACTTCTGGCTATTAAAGAGACTTTCAAGCGAACAAACGTTGTGGATAGCGCATTGTAAAAGAGTGACAGAAAGATTATTGCAACACATTTTAAAATCGAAAATCGATATCGTAAGAAATCGACGAAAATATCTATTTTTACAAGTAGTGAGTGTAACTGGTTGTCCAGCAGTAAAGTGATTATATTTCAACAGTTTTTCAAAATAGGCATCTTCCGAATAACATTTCTTTTGATCTAAATGTTTCTTATACGGCGTACATCATTTACGTCCCATTAATACTTAAACTACATTAAAGATAATTTTACAATATGCTTAGATATGTCCTATTTAAAAAAGACATATCTTATATATTTTAACATGTAAATACACCGCTTTAAGACACTGTATCAAATACTATTTGCGATCACTATTTAGTGTTAATACTGCTGATATAATATCATTATAATATCTCCTTCCTTTCACATGAGCGATAATTCCAAAGCTCTCAGTACCCTCACTTCAGCGCCACTTCAGGAGCACCCGGGTCCTCATTCCCTCATGCCCGAACAGACAAGGAGGCCTATCGTTTCGCCTTAAGTTGGTGGAAATCCCATAAGTATGTTGCCTGGAAGGGTTTCCCTACTTAATGAAACCAACCGGCACAAGTAAATCACGACAAAACAGCATCATTTCATTTTCAGAGTGTGTATTGCTTTAGTGTGGATCACTGACACAAGTCAATGGCCATCCATTAGTCATTTACAAACCTTACTAATATTACAAATACTTAAATACTTACACATAAACACACGCATTTACAAATTATTTCATCTAGCACATATTAACCTATGAACGACCACTTGCAATTGTCAGTTACTCGATTAAAAAATTGCAATCTATCATAAGATTGATTGTCTTCTCAAGTTTAAACCAATTACAAAATTGATATTGCTGCGCCGAGGAATTCGTCTTTCCATATTTTGTGGAAAATATATTTTTGTATCTAAAGTTATGGCTTAATTATACTTTTTATATCACTTCAATCTTCACGATGACGAAATTAAAATATTCTCGAGATTACAATGTTCTCGAGATTAAAATATTCTCGAGATTACAATGTTCTCGAGATTAAAATATTCTCGAGATTAAATAAAAGAATTATTGATTTTATACGGTTATAATTTTGTTCGTAGG